TTTGCTGTCTCAATGTCTCAAGACATTGTGCACTGTGTGCGGTGTGGTGTGTCTATGGGATCCTGTGTCTGGCTTGCTATGTGTGGTATGCTGTATTGATGGTATGCAGTGTGCGGTATGTTGTGTTGACGGGGTCCTGTGTCTGGCTTGCTATGTGTGTCGCGTGCTGTGCGGTGTGCTGTCTAGATGGTATGCTCTGTGTGGTGTGCTGTATTGATGGTGTGTCTGGTGTGCTGTGTTAATAGTATGCTGTGTGTGGTATGCTGTGTATAGTGAGTTGTGTTTATGGTGGACTGTGTTTGCTGTGTTATGTGTGGTGAGCTGTTTTGTGTGTGGCATACTCTGGTGTGCTATGAGTGGTGTGTGTGTGTTGTATGCTATGCTGTGCTGATTGTGTGCTGTGTGTGGCGTAATCTGTGTCGTGTGCTAGCGTGATGTGCTGTGTGCTGTGCTGGATGTGGTATGCTACGTGTGGTGTGCTGCGTTGACTTCGTTCTTTGTTAAGTGCGCTGTGCCGAATGTGGGGGCAGTCTTAATGGCGTAGTGTGTGTGGTGTACCGTGTGGATGGTGCGTCTCGTGTGCTATGCTATAGGTGGTGTGCATTGTTTATGTTGGGCTGTATGTTGCGTGCCGTGTGCTGTGTCTGGCATGCGGTGTGTGCTATGTGTGCCGTGCTATGTGTGGGTGTGCTGTGCTGATGTACTGCGTGTTGTGTGCCGTCTTGCCCAAGCGTCAAATCACTACGCCGTGTCCTTCGTTGTGTTTCAGCGTCCGATTATTAGCGCCGTTCGGTCGGATTGCGCCATTTCCTTGAGTTGCGTTCCCGCTCAAAGTCGGTCTCCTTATAGGTTTCGGTGCCGTCCCGGTCTCGTTAGCGGCGTATTGACGGTGTCGGGCACGCCACCAGCTTGCGAGCCACGCAGCGCGGCTCGCCGTTCGGCCCCGGCTTGCGAGCTCGTGACGAAAGCCAGGATCGCCGCCCCGTCTGTACCATCCGTGATCGCGCCACGGTCCCAGACGCAGGAAATTTGGCTCGCGCACCGTGAAATTCTCCACAGCTCCAGGTGTCGGCTCTCTCCCAAACTCAAGCCAGACGCCCCCCCCCCCGCCCCCCCCCTTTCGCGGCACCACTGTTGCCGACGGCGTTCTTTAAAACGAAAGTTATCCTTTCAATAAATCCCGCAAACGAGTTTCATCATGCAAGGCATCTCGCCGTCGCGCATTGATGATTTTGTCTCGCGAGCCGGCGGACGGTCGTGGCGGCTCACGAGGAATCGTCGTCGCGGGGATAAAAGGGCCCCATTTCGGGGGTCCCTCGACTCCGAGCGTCCGGCGCCCCGTGCCGCCCGGCGCGTGCTCCGTCAGCGGGCTGCGCGCGATTATGGAGTCGCAAAACCGGCTACATAATACACTCCGCGGTGGCAAAAGAATTGTACGGATTATTTCAGGCTTCCTATTGCAAAAATTATTCTGGAGGTGTGGGAACTCTGCTCTTGACTCTTTGCGAGCAGCACATCCGTTAGGAAGTTTAGTTTTTCAGGATCACGCACACACGCACTGCCGTGGTTGCTCTGGTTCGGGGAGATCGCTCCAAGGTCAACGGATTGCCGTTTGTGTTTGAAATCTTGCAGCACTTCATGTCAGTGATGGTAGTCGTGTGTTGGGCTTGTGCATGCATGTCTGCCTATGTGTGTGTCTGTGTGGGGAGCAGTGGCGCAGCGGTTAGCGCGCTGCGCCACCAACCTGCCGCTCCGATTTCGATTCCCGCTCACGGCCAACACCAGTGACGATTATCTGAACCGGTTCTGGGCCTCCCCTAGGTCCACTCAGCCTCAAAGACGTAATTGGTGCAGTGTGTAAACTTCGCCACTGGGGAGACAAAGGCGGTCGGGTGTGGTGCTGGCCAACCACCCTCTCATGTGCCGTGCCAGGCTTCATAGGTGCTCGCGAACAGCACTTGCCCCTACAGTCTGTAAAGGCTATAGGGAGATCTTTGTCTTTGTGTACAAATGTGTGCACGTGTGTGCGCAAACCAATTTGTGTCATTCACAAAATGGCTATCGACTTGTGTTTGTAGATGCACACTTACGCGCAGAAACGTTTTTGGACGTGAATTGAATTAACATGCCTAAAATAATTTTTTTTATGTCGAAACCAGAATTAAGGGACAAGCAAGAAATAAAAAAATATATTTAAATACACATGTAAAATCAGATCAGCTGACAATAAATGCGGAGATGAACATGCACACATCTCTCGATGTCGCACGCACGCACACCCTATCTTCATACGATCTACGAGGGCTTCCAAACACATTCTTGCTCAGCCATATGGCGCGATTAATTTTATCGCCCCTGTTTAATGAATTCCAAGCAAATGAATAAAAAAAACGTTCCAAGCAAATTAATCAAAAAAATCCTGGGATTCGAACGAATTTCGTCGGGAGCGCCGCATCACCGCGTCGTGGTGCCCTCCTGCTGCGCCGTCGTCCTACCTGGAACTTTGTCGCCGTCTCTCTGCCGCTACCTGTGGTGCTGCGGAGAGCCGCCCGCCTCGTTAGCCGTCGCTAAACCGTCGCTAAACCGTCGCTAAACCGTCGCCGGTCTTCTTGGCGTGCGGCGCCCACGCTCGCCAGCATCACGCGCGCGACGTCCGCCACTTTGGCCGCCGGGGCCTTGCTCGCGCAGCGGCCCAGAACGAGCAGCGTGACGCTGTGGCCTCTTTGCAGGAGGTCCACCGCCGCGGTAATGTACGCACCGTGTAATGGCACCGAGTCACTTCCCTGTAATTAACTGCGAGAGCCCATTGAGGTTCATTATCTTTTTCTTCTAAAGATATTCAGATAATTGCAATTAATATGAATTCGTTTTAAAATTGGCGGTTTAAATTCGGGAATTTCGCTGTAGGTATTTTATTTGGGCAGAGACACTGGCGTGTCAATTGCCTTGTCCACATCCTTGTGATTTGTGTCTGTTTATCTCGATTCACGTGATCTCCATCGCCACCGTTGCCTGTCGTTTACCCTGAGATTGGCGAAATGTCGTTGAGCTTGCACCACCACGGCTCCATTTGTCATCTCTGTGTTTCCTCTCTTGCATATTATTCTGCCGCTATGATGTTTTCCCTCACGGAAACCGTAATCCTGATGCTGAACGTTTCCTAATTTATTTTCTTTTCCGGAACCCCGGCGGGGGAAAAAACATATATTAGCCGAGCTTTGACCTTACGCTCGTGACCAGAAAAAAAACACGTAAACACAAAAACAGAACAGCGCCTCGGAACGCCGCTTGCGTTCACCTGTGCCGAGGGACCGCGATCGCTGCGAGGGACTTCGTGGCGATGCGTGTGGAAGGGGCGCGAGCACAACTGCGTGCCAGTGTCGAGCTATTTGTGGCTGAGCGTCTCACAAGGGCCAGAGCGGCGCTGGGGAGACACTGGGGAGGCTGGGAGGGAAGTCCGGGCTCCGTGGGTTCACAGTCGAGCGCTATCGCCGCCCGTGCTGACGCGTTATCGCACGTTCGTTCTTTTTTATTCTTTTCACCCCCAGTCCTCAATCTTTAAGCTCTTCCCTTTCACTTGAGATGGAGCAGAAATATAATTGTCATTGATGCGCGCGTGGTTTCAAGCCAGGGGAAAATAAAGTGTCAACGGATGCCGTGTCATTGATGGCGACGTAGGTGAGACCGGCAGGATTTAAACATCGCAGGACCGCACACGTTTCTGAAAACAAACTCACCGTTGTATCGTTCCCACGGGTCAGTACGCCAGGGACAGTAGCTCGCGCCGTACGTTTTTCTTACGCACGCACGGACACGTGTGCGTGTGAGTCGCTAGTGCTGAGCCGCGCAAAGAGCAAGGCCGCCCATAGCCTGGTGGTTGGAGCAGTCCGCCCCTCGGTGGCAGTGCGCTGGTTTGTCAGTTCGAATGCCGCCCTTGGCCGGTGGCACGGCGGGGCACGGCCTGACGCAAAGTGGACGTCTCCGACTGGTGAGGGCGCGCCTGCGGGTGCCGTGGCCCAGCGGCCATGCGTGGAATATTTGTCGCTGTTTAGGACACGAAGGCGGCGCTGTCAATGATGCCGATATCTGCGCTGGTCGCCATCAGGAGAACGGACCGGGCGTTACTCGTATAACAACAATGCGCCCACGTCAGGCATAGCCGACGGAGAATCATCGGTCACCGATCGGTGTTGATTATCTTTTGAAATAATAATCACGATAATAATTATCTGCAGCTCTTCGTCAATCGACTCCAGGACGAAGGCCTGACAATGCCGTGTTGGTCGTGGGGGTTCGTTAACCATATTTCACTCTGCTGGTCTGTTGTGTTGTGGTTACATTTGTATCGGTTTGTTCACCACATTCATAGCGCTGTTATGGAGGCTGAACATCCATTCATTCATTCATCGCATTAGGCCAAAGCCTGACTTTGCAGCAGAGTCATTACCAGTAGAGTCGACACATTTCTGGGGCGCGCGACTTGATCATTTACTGAGCACTGATTACACCCCCCACGCTCTTCCATCCAGAGTCGGAGCAGGGGTTCGTTCAAAGCCAATTCACACCCTGCAGGTCAATTCAGACGGAGTGAAGCCACCCGTGTCTGGGTCTAACACCGCTCTTTACTTGTCTAGCATAACTCTGCTAATCTATTTGATTTTATTATAATTAAGTTGCCTGTGCCGTATTAGTCCGGAAAGATCTGAGGAAAGAAGCCCAGGCGGCAGACCCTGGGTTTCTGCGGATGGTGCGACAGGGAGGGGCTAAAGATGCATTTAGGGGTCTAACGTCCCATCACCCCGGCCGTTCGTCTTCACCGTCTCTTTTTTGCTGTTCCAAATTTTTGAGCGCATCGTTTGTCTGGTTGTATTTGCCCTGTTGGCTTAAACGTGACGACGTCAGCGTGACAGCTGGCGTCGATGACGTCCCCACGCTCGCGTGTCAGTGACGTACCCCCCCCCCCCCGCGCGCTCGCGCTTCTCTCCCGTGTGCTCGTGCAGCCGAGCCCGAGCGCGTGGAGGCGCTCATGGGCGACGAGGAGGAGGAGGAGGAGGATGACGACTGAGGAAGACGACCGCGCGACGGCGGCCGAGGCCCAGGCGCCGGGGGGCGGCGCGGGCGGCGCCTCGGAGCAGGACCTGCTCACGTGCGGGCAGTGCCAGCTCACGTTCCCGCTGGCCGACATCCTCCTCTTCATCCAGCACAAGCGCAAGGGCTGCGAGGCCTCGCTCTGCGCCGACAAGGGGCCCGGCGGCGGTGCCGGCGGCGGCGTCGCGGGGGCTCCGCGGGCCTCCCCGCCGGCGCACGCGCTGGCGCGGGCGCCCGTGGATATCGGCGTGCAGGTGTCGCCCGAGGACGACGACCTGGCTGCGGGGCACGCCAAAGGAGGCCCCAGTCAAACGGGAAGGCCCGGCGCAAGGTGAGCGCGGCGCGGCCCCCAGCTCGTAGACCTGCCCCCTCTGCCCCCTCGCTCCCGTGGTAGGGTCCAGTATCTTCAAAGAAAGAACATTTTGTTAACTTTCTGCAAAAGTGGTGATATTCATTGTATTGGCCCTGAAGGGAAGACGGGATGAGACGACGTCTACCCACGGTTTTAATTTACATTCTTTTACGCTGTCACCGCAGGGCCACCCTTGCGGATTAGCGATTTTTACTTTTAAATAAATAATCTGCTCGCGTTTGACGCTCACCTGAAGGGACTCTGAGGTGGCTTGCAGAAGGCAGTACAGCAAGTAGGTTTCCCATAACACTTTAATCTCATCCCCTGCGATCCCCCGGGCACAGCACCCTCGATCAGAAATGTGGTTAAAAATCCCCGACGGTGGGGGCCCTCGGGAATTTCTTGAGACTCTGCTGAGGAATTCTGGGTAAATGAAGGAATATTTGTTTGGTTATTTTATCTGTCCATGACCTTGCCGAATCGGCCTTGGCGGGTAGAGCAGGAGCTTGCAGTGCCACGGAGGGACGCGGCGTTCCCGCCTCGTGATCCGAAGCCACTGACGACCGTCGGGGCTCAGGGCGTGGAGCGACTCGGTTCTCACTCCACGGTCGTTCGTGTCGCTCGTCATAGCCATGCCACGAAAAATCCTTTGAAAAAGATGCATATATATTTTTTCAAGCGATTTACAAAATGCTATAACGGTCGGAATTGCTGCTTTTGTGCGATTGTGCCAGTTTTGCAAATGGAGCCTTTGTGGTGTTGTTGCCGGAGAGATGGATTGCTTCACACCGTTTGGCTTTCTTAACTTGCCGCGCATTCTCAACGCCAGTGTTGGTGGCTGCGCTTCACTTCCCGCTCGGATGGCCGCGGCATCGCGTCAGCTTCACCGCCGGCTGATCGAGGCAAATGAAAGCGAACGTGTTTTGCCAACCAGGCCCGTTTGTGTTGATGTTAGCGGGAGGGCCGGGGCGGTGTGCCGGGCTGCCCAGGTGGCCCATGTAAGGGAGCGCTGACTCCGTCGCCACGATAGGACCACCGGTCCAAGCGCCCTGCCACCGGAAGGTTGTGAGTTAACGGACCGGGAGCCACATCGGTGGAGTGCGTCGCTTGCAATCGGAAGGTTGAGTTCAAATCCTGGTCGGGGATCGACTCAGCAACTCATCCATTCCAGGTCGATACAATGGGTGCCAATTAGTGGCAACATTAAAAGTGGTTCCCCTTTGGAAAAACTCACCCCTAGCATAGGAATGTGGAATTTCTAGCAGCGGCTAAGTGTAATAAATATGGTAGGAGTGCCAGCAATTGAGTGGGAAACCACTTTGTCTTTTTTGTGGTGAAGCATTGTGGGTAGAAGGGGCCTCCATCCCAATGGTCTTTGCCAGGCTGCGCCATTGTGAGATTGTATAGTTCTCCCCACTGTGAGATGACATCGGCCACATCTCTGTCAGGCCATAGCTTCGTGTGCTGCTGCAGGTTATACTGCTGTGTGGTGATGTGACAAAGAATCCTGCGTGTGGCATTCGACCAAAGCACAACCAGGGCCTCCTCGGTAAACAATCTGTGTGCACGCCATTAAATATTATTATACGTATAATTTTATAAATATTGAAAAGGCACGACAATATTTTGATATTTTACAATGCACCCAAGAACAGATAATGACATTTGTCTGCCGGCTGGTCCATGAACGCCAAACACGTTATGGCCTGGCTTTGCCCACGGTGTTGGGATCAGCCTGACGTTGCTTGGAAATCGATGCGGAGCGGGATTATACCGATCGATAGCGACGTGCATATGAGGAGCGCAGCCCGCAGGGGGGTGGCGCGAGCGCCGTGCTAGGCAGCTGTCGCGTGGCCGCCGCCGCCGACACCGCCGCCGACACTGCCGCCGACACCGCCTAGGAACGAGCGTCACGTGGGACGCCCGTCCGCGGCCGCACGTGGAGTCGATGGCGCCCGACCTTCGCTCGGCACTGCTTCCCCGAGCGCGGCCTCTGAGCCTTGCCTCGTCAGGGCCCGCTCGGCGCGGTCATCGTTGTCGCCGTCGTCGTCGTGTGGTGCTGTGTGCGCCCGCGTGTCCGTGCCCCGTACGCCCAGTTGTTGTGTTCGATTCGAGGGCGAGGAGAGACGCTTCGTCCGTCGCAAGATGACTAACGAACTCTATTTATAGGGCGCGCGTTTCCAGCGCGGTACGCGCGCGTGCTCGCCACGCACGCCCGGGCCCCGCGCGTGGGTTACTCGCACGAGGTGTTTAAAGGGCCCCTGACCTTCGTCTCAATGGTTGGTCACCCGTTACACGCTGCGCCTCCCGCGTGGACACGCCGTTGTTGTCGCACGCGAGGCCGTTGTTGGGCGATGTAAAGCCGCCGGAGAGGATATGAAGAAACAAGGTCGTTCGCATCAGCCTTGGCTGCGACCTTAACCCGCAGACATCGCTGATTGCCTTTTACTCTGAATCCAAGCATGCAGCTCGCGAGATCCGGGCAGACGCGTTAAGCTACAGTACATGTGATACATTATTCCTGTGACACGTGAAGATGAATTGATTTCTCTATTATTGAACATTTATCTAAAGAATTTTATGGCTGTATTAAAAAAAAATCTTATTTTTAAAATAATTTTATTTCTCTCTCTCCATTTCTCTCTTTCTCTCTTTTTTTTTATAAAAGACTCGCTTATCCAAATAAACCGTTATAAGCCTCTGTCACTTTAAAGCCTGCCGCTTTGACAGATTTAATTTGATTTAGGTCTGCCCCTTTGAAAATCGCTAATGCTCTTGGCCTGGTCTGTAGTGGCAATGGCGGTCGCTTTGAATTTGATTGCATGCCTAATTTCCACGGCGTGCACAGCTGCCTCGGGGCCCCTTTCTCTCGGCACTGACCTTGGTCACTGGGTTGAGCGGCCAGGGGCTCGCGACGCCTTTGTCTCCTGCTCGCCTCGCGAGCCACGGACGCGCCGGCTTCCCAGGCGGAGAGGGGATGAGAGCGCAGTGAGGGGGCGGCGTGGAACCAATTTGGACTTTTCCTTGCAAGAATAAATATACACGTACGCACGCACGCACGCTCGCGCATACGTGCCGTGTATACTCCGGCGCGTGTAACGATTTAGATGTCAGGTACGGCGCGGTTCTATCACGGGGCATCATGCCAACTACATCTGAATTGACCCGATGAGTTGAATCCTCACGCATTCTATACACGTGCAGTGTTCTTTATTTGAAATTTAGATTCCTTGGAAGTTTAAGCGTTTCATGTATCCCAGAGTCTGTTCTACAAGCGTGCGTATGTATGCGTGTGCATGGGCGTGAGTGCGAGGACACAACACACAGCAGATGCTCGACGCGGACTCACAAAACACCGCAACACACCGGCACACGTGTACGCACAGACACACGCATGGGGTGTGTACACTTAGCACGACAGCCAGCGGCAGTATCTTGAGTCCTCCCGCTATCGAGTTACAGGTCGTGTGTTGTTGGAGGTATGTGTACAAGTTGTGTGTGTAGTGTTGTTGTGGGGGTACAGGTTGTGTTGTTGTTGTGGGGGTACAGGTTGTGTGTGTGTTGTTGTGGGGGTACAGGTTGTGTGTTGTTGTTGTTGTGGGGGTACAGGTTGTGTAGTGTTGTTGTGGGGGTACAGGTTGTGTGTTGTTGTTGTGGGGGTACAGGTTGTGTGTAGTGTTGTTGTGGGGGTACAGGTTGTGTGTAGTGTTGTTGTTGTGGGGGGTACAGGTTGTGTGTTGTTGTTGTGGGGGTACAGGTTGTGTGTAGTGTTGTTGTGGGGGTACAGGTTGTGTGTTGTTGTTGTGGGGGTACAGGTTGTGTAGTGTTGTTGTGGGGGTACAGGTTGTGTTGTTGTTGTTGTGGGGGTACAGGTTGTGTTTTTGTTGTTGTGGGGGTACAGGTTGTGTGTAGTGTTGTTGTGGGGTTACAGGTTGTGTGTAGTGTTGTTGTGGGGGTACAGGTTGTGTTGTTGTTGTTGTGGGGGTACAGGTTGTGTGTAGTGTTGTTGTGGGGGTACAGGTTGTGTTGTTGTTGTTGTGGGGGTACAGGTTGTGTTGTTGTTGTGGGGGTACAGGTTGTGTGTTGTTGTGGGGGTACAGGTTGTGTTGTTGTTGTTGTGGGGGTACAGGTTGTGTTGTGGGGGTACAGGTTGTGTGTGTTGTTGTTGTGGGGGTACAGGTTGTGTTGTGGGGTTACAGGTTGTGTTGTTGTGGGGGTACAGGTTATGTGTGTTGTTGTTGTGGGGGTACAGGTTGTGTGTAGTGTTGTTGTGGGGGTACAGGTTGTGTTGTTGTTGTTGTGGGGGTACAGGTTGTGTGTTGTTGTGGGGGTACAGGTTGTGTTGTTGTTGTTGTGGGGGTACAGGTTGTGTTGTTGTTGTTGTGGGGGTACAGGTTGTGTGTAGTGTTGTTGTTGTGGGGGTACAGGTTGTGTGTGTTGTTGTGGGGGTACAGGTTGTGTGTAGTGTTGTTGTGGGGGTACAGGTTGTGTTGTTGTGGGGGTACAGGTTGTGTGTGTTGTTGTGGGGGTACAGGTTGTGTTGTTGTTGTTGTGGGGGTACAGGTTGTGTTGTTATTGTTGTGGGGGTACAGGTTGTGTGTTGTTGTTGTGGGGGTACAGGTTGTGTGTAGTGTTGTTGTGGGGGTACAGGTTGTGTTGTTATTGTTGTGGGGGTACAGGTTGTGTTGTTGTTGTGGGGGTACAGGTTGTGTGTAGTGTTGTTGTTGTGGTCGGTACAGGTTGTGTGTGTTGTTGTGGGGGTACAGGTTGTGTTGTTGTTGTTGTGCGGGTACAGGTTGTGTGCAGTGTTGTTGTTGTGGGGGGTACAGGTTGTGTGTGTTGTTGTTGTGGGGGTACAGGTTGTTGTTGTTGTTGTGGGGGTACAGGTTGTGTGTAGTGTTGTTGTGGGGGTACAGGTTGTGTTGTTGTTGTGGGGGTACAGGTTGTGTGTTGTTGTTGTGGGGTACAGGTTGTTGTTG